CTGCGTCACCCGACTGAGTGCTGAGGTTACAGGTATGTGGCACCATGTTCCACACAGGCACCGTAGTCCTCGTTAAAGATGCTGGTCACATGGTCGATGTTCAGTATCTCTCCTCCCTCTCTTGTCCACCTCCCTTCATCTCTTCTGCCCTTCCACTCCCATCCTGCCTTTGTCTCATCAGCGTAGGTTCCCAAAGGGGAGTGAACAGTTGGTATCAATTTTTAAATCCTTGGATTATAATTATTTCTTATGCTGCACCCTTTAGGACATTAAACATATACATGTATATGTATGTGTTGATATGCATACAAATATGGACACATATAGTAGATTAATATATACTTATAATCATGCAATACATACATATATACATAAGTGTGTGTATGTATCTTCATACTTTCTATAGTAATGAAGATATCTTCACTGCTTCAAATATTTATAGTAGGCTGTTAGATCTACAAAAAGAAAGTAAATTCCAAAGGTTGCTGGGCCTCCTGAAGGCTCCTCAAAGCTTCCCAATCAGCTTCTTTCTCTGTGTCCTCTCTGTAAAAATCTGAATGTAACCCAAGGTTCCTTGAAATACCAGACCATGAGCAAGGGGAACACACACACATGGCAGTGGGAAACTTGATCCAGCACTGCCATTTGGTTGAAAGTTCTGTTCAGCTTTCTGTGCTGTTTAATTTTGTTTTAAATGAAGAAATACGTGTTCCACCCATGCTTGAGATGGAGCCAGGCTGCATGACTTCACACTGCCTTTAGGACAGCCTTGGATTGCACAACTGCTTGGCTTGTTTGCTCCCAACATCCTGATTTGGAGGAGCTGCTATATGATTCCAAATGGAGCGCTGGGCCTATAGAGAGGGTCCCTGTCACCATGGCTGGCTGGGTTTGGGGATGTTAAGCAAGAGGCACACATCTATGTTCTTCAGTTGAGCTGGCATCTGCAGCAGAGACAATCCTTCTCTGAGGGAGAAAGCCTGGAACATCATATTGGGCCTTTTTCTTTACCACTGGCTTTTTCTTTGTGTAATGATGTCTGCTCTCTTCGGGTGGACCACTTCTCTACTTGTGATCACACTACACAGAGTGTCCCTTGGTACATTCTGTTTCTTTTATTAGGTCTCTACCCAGTTACAGGAACACACTCAACTCTTCTCCAAACAGCCATTACTTGCTGAAATAAAAAAAAAAAAAGGCATTTCAGGGAAATAAAGGCTCACTCAGGGAGAAGCCTAAAATCTTTGAAAAATAAGTTCACTGGAAAACCTTTTCTTAGCAGTCTCACATAAAGTTAGATAAGTAAGAGGTAGGTGATAAATAGACAGATGGATATAACAGATAAATTTGATGGATGAGAAAGAGATGGTAGATGGATGATAGATAAATAATGATGATATATAAACGACAGAAGATATGATAATATATAGGGCATGATGATAATTATATGATAGAGTTAAGTGACAGATGTTTACCCAAATGATTGAACATAATTGTGCATAGATGGTAGAGGGCAGACACATGACAGATGATAGATAAATAGCTACCATGATATATATTTATATTAAGTACTCCAATTTCATAGTATCTAGTAAATACAGCTTCAAAGGAGATGTTTCCTCTATTGCCCTTGGCCTGGAATGTTAGTAACTCAGGGTCTTATTTCCCTTCATCACAGGATGAGACTGTAGATACAAGGGAAGCAATAGAGAACAGAGAGGGCAGTTTTGGAGATAAGGAAAGAAAATATGAAGTTGGAATTTTGCTAGAATTCCAGTCACAATCTTTGATAGAATCAAAGGAACTAGTTGCTAAAGATGAGTTTTCCAGGACAGTCTTACAGGCTACATGTCCTGGCTTTTCGTGTCTGTGTGCACATTGTAATTTCTAGCTTTAATTTGCGAGTGTGATATGTTAGTTTTAGGTTAAGTACCCCGGGGACAGGAAACCTGACTCTGCCCTTTGACAGCCCAATAGATACAGCCATGTTGCTTATCTTCTTTCATGGGAAACTGACGTTGTCTCATGACCGGTGACTTAAGCAAGCACACTAGGTATTCGGGTTTTTGTTTTTCCCTTGAGGAAGGTAGGAACCATTGCCACTGGAACATTAATACAGCCTTTATGGGTAGAAGAATTTGGCTCAATAGCTCAGTATGCCCAGAAAAAGGCTGAACTGCCCATTCCATTGCTAGTAGACAACTACCAATTACAAGGGACTTGGACACTGAGGCTTAGGAAAGGCCCATATTTTCCTTCTGACCTTTGTCACTGAGGACTTGCTGTTAGGTCGACCCCTAAAGTTTGACTGACCAAAGCTGCCCCTCCCACAGGGTAGGTCCTAACACTGTTCAATCACACATCAATTACACAAACAAAGGCTGATAAAACAGTTAATGGGAATAGCTTAGCCTTTGCTTCCGGATGGAGCTGCTTTCAAATTCTGCAGCAGTGCTGGGGGAGTGAGTGGTTCACACCTGTAAGCCCAACGCTGGGGTGGGGGGGGGGCTGAGCCAGCCTGGGACCCATTTCACAAACCAGAGACATGGAGAAGAGAAAAACAAAAACCCATACCAGAATTGTCTTATAGAATAGAACTCAACTCAAAATACATATGTATTTTAGTAATTATATAAAATAATTTTAAAGAAAATCAGGTGAAATTAATTTTAACCAATGCTTTATTTAAATTTATGCATATCCAAGAATGTTTAGATATGCAAAAAGGATAAAAATGATTATATTGAGACATTTTAAATTTTGCACATGTTCCTACCTAAGTCTTTGAAATCCTAGTGGGTATCTTATACCTTAGCCCGTCTCAAGTCAGATTGGCTATTTTTAATTTTCAGGGACCCACACGTGACTCGTGTATTGGTGATAGATAGAGTTCTAGACACCCCCCCCCACTTGCCAACTATATGGCTGTGGAGGAAGTGATCAACCCACCGTGAGCTCCCACTTACTCTCCCATGACACGGTGCTAGATATAATATCGTTAGGGGCTAGAGAGCATGCTCAGTGCTTAGAAAAGCATACTACCCTTGTAGAGGACCCGAATTCCCTTGGGACTACAGTTCCAGGAGGCCCAACACCCTTTTTGGGCTTCTGCACACATTTTACTCACATGTGCTCATACACACACACACACACACACACACACACACACACCATGTAATTAAAAATCAAATAAATCTTTAAAAAAATACATCTGCATGAACGTTAAGTGTGAGAGCAAATCAGCTGAGCGCAGGCAGGGTCTGACGACACACTGCCCTTACTATTGCCATGCGGTGACGTTCATTCAACTAGCTACTTTCCAATAATTCTGGGCCTGTCGTGCCACCGAAAGGTTAGTCTACAGAACTGAGAAATACCCTCAGGGATGACTGATGGCTCCATCCATTTGAGAGATACGGTCTGGAGAGTTTTACACATCGACCACCACGATGGAGATGTGTGGTCTCAAGCTACAGTCTGGAAATGAAGAGAAGTTCATGACTGCAAGGCCCGCCATGCCCCCAGTGCAGAACAGGCATAAGACTACCAAAATGGATGCTCAGTGATGAGCCGGAACAGAGCTCAGGATGTCCCCTCCTGGCTGTTCCCAGCAAGGAGGCAGACATGTAAATCAGATATTCTCTTCACCAGAAGGTAAAGAAACAGCTGGAGGCTGGCTCAGCCATACTATATTTAGCTAGTGTACAGGATGCCCTACTACATTTAGTTAGTGTACAGGATGGCCTGCATTCGGCCCCAGTACTACCACTAGAAAGAAGAAATGAAGGAACCGGGCGGTGGTACACACCTTTAATCCCAGCACTTGGGAGGGTTTCTGTGAGTTCAAGGGCAGCCTGCCAGCAGAGCTAGTTCCAGAACAATTAGGGTTGTTACACAGAGAAACCCTGTCTCATAAAAATAAAAAAAATAAAAATGAAGGAAAATAAAGGAGGAAGGAAAGATACAGTTAGTAATGGGAGTGAACGAGAAATTTCTAATGCTTTGGGGGCTGCGAGGTGGATTTTTGTCCTTGCCTGGCCTGTATACCACACTTTCATTCTCGCCCACCAATTAGTTGTGCTATAACTGGGATGGGTGGCAGATTTTGGCTAGCTCACTCTACACAGAACCCAGGACTCAGGTCAGAGAGGAATGGGTCCTCCACTTAAGATCAAACAAGATGTGATGGCAGAAACAAGTGACAAGATGGCAGAGAAGGACCCATTCTCTAGTCTGCTTCCACACTCAAACTGAGGGCTTGCTTCTGACACGTGGACCGCACAGCAGGCACCAGCTAAGTTCTTGCCTTGGACAAACTGAGAAGAACAGACCGAGTCTCAACTACTTTCTCCTTAGTTCTATTTATTAAGAGGCTGGCAACTCACTTGAGAAGTGGGGTCCCATAGGTAAAAACTGAGGAGATCTGAGGGAACAGCACGTGTGTGTGTGTGTGTGTGTGTGTGTGTGTGTGTGTGTGTGTCTACAGTGCTATGGGTAAACCTGGGACAGGCGTAACTGCTCCCAAGCAACGACCCCAAAGTGCACATGGCTTTTGTTATATCTGGCCGGCTCAGTAACTATCCAAGTTATGGGGCGACAGGGGATCCTGTCTAGACCAGTTCTTTTGGCCTTGGGATTGGCAGAACATAGAACCAGAAAGCCTAATCATGGCCCAAATATCTCTGCATATTTTTTTTTCTGGTAGACAGTCAAGCTGGGTGGAAACTAAATCCCAAACAATCACCAAACAGTAATAAATGAGAAAATAAAAAGACAGGAAAGCCTTTCCCCGGTCCTTGATAGCTATGCTGGCTCTGAAGCTGTACTGTGGTATTTCCGAAGAGAGCAGCTGAGGGATAAGAGCGCAGAAGACAGCTTGAAGCACAGCTTTTCCCGTGGACCTGTCATCTCGTGATGTCACATGCGCTTTCTGGTCTCAAACACGATTCTTTGACAGGAAGAACACAGCAACATACAACTGAAATAATTTATTTACCACTAGGAGCACCACAAAAACCAGACATACATTGTGTTAAAATACAGCATAGTTGGTCATCAAAACACAGAACAGCTATTCTTATAGTCCATTCTTTAAAAACCATGCCAGCCGTAAAATTGTACTGTTGCTTAACACTTACAACCTGCTGCCCCTCCCATATGCTAATGCACCCCCCTCCTACCACCCTTCCCTTGGCAATATTCACTAATGGGAAATAAAGACCTGTAGACCCCACAGACTTTAAAAAAAAAAATGAGAGAAAAAGATTCAAGAAATCTTAAAAAAAGAAAAAAGCAGTCAGTGCATTCAAGGAGAGACAAACTCATACAGACTAAAAACATCATTTTATCTGAGAGGAAAATATTTGCAGAGCGAGGGGATTTATATAGAAACAACAGAAAAGTGGAAGGGGAAGGCAGAGCTGGGCCTGTGCTGCACCCGACACATCGGCCGTTCACCAGTGCTTGCTCTGTCTGTCTTCCGGCTTGCGAATCCTGTTCTTCATCTTAATGAATAGAAAGGAAAGTTCTCCCCCAAAGTATATCATATCAAAGAAATTCTCTTTGTATTCACACCTCCCCGTGTTGCCCTTCGGGTCAGACCATAAATAATACGTGGTTTTGTGGACTAGTTTGTATTTTGAAGTTAAGTACGTAACGAGGATGCCCTGCAAAGCCCAGTGTCAAGCCCTGGCTCTGCAAGAGAGGACAACCTAGCTCCTCAAGCCACAGCCAACCTCAGCTCTAGACCATTCTCACTCAGGTGAAAGGACGAAGATTTTGGCAAGGGGGAATTTAGTTTGTGCTCTTTCAAGTAATTTCTTTCCAAACCTGAACGTCAGGGAAGTTAATGAAATGATGAATGTGACCTGGGCCTTTCCCCTTTGGAAAACTCAAAATGGGCATCTCTCAATTTTCACCCTGAAACCGAAGGCTGACTAAAGAAAGGGGTGCCTTTGCTTTTCAGCTGTCCGCTTTTTAACAGTAATAAGATTCCACAAATATATGAATTAAAGGAAGCTACAGAATTTTTTTCCTAGCCCAGTCACCGAGATTCGGAGTTCAGATTCTTAAACACTCTCTAAAACAACATCTGTGCTCACACACCTTTGTCTTCCCAGGAGAAACTTCATCATCTGGTCTACTTAGTACTGACCCAGAAAAGATGGAGAGAAAATATAGAACTTAAACATATCTTTTTGGTTCTCTTTGTTTGTTTTTGTTTTATGTCTTTTGGAAAAGAAAAGGAAAGGGGGAAAAATGGACCCAGGTATCGTATGCCATTAAATGGACAATACATAAAAGCCAAGCAGAGAAGATAATATTTAAAACAATGAATTTGTACTGCGAGCCAAAATCTAGGGGTTTTATTCGAAAGTACTGGCCAGCTAAAGGAAACAAACATACAATCTGAATGATCATTAAAAAAAAGTTCAAATTTAAGTTCAATCTAAATCACAATCATTATTACAGAATATCAAAAATATGGTAAGGATCTACATTATTACATATAAAGTAGTTAATGTTTTGATTTAATAGTTTGTAAAACAGATCTGCAGATGTGTTTTCAATTATGCTGGCTTCTAGACCCATCTATTTTAATAGTATCAGTGTGATTACATATACCAAGACAAAGGAAAAAACCTGTATCGGAGCTCTACAGCCACGTCACGGTCCAAAGTCTGACAATACACGTCAATACAGGTCAACATTTCACTGGCTTGCTTAAACTGGCAAAGAATCATTTACAATGAAAAGAGGTTTAAGAAAAAAATCTTCCAGATTCCCACTGACTCCAAGTCTTTTTGTTAACAGGCCTTCTCAGTGTATGGCCACCCCTGAAGCTTCCATAGCAGTTGGCACACAGCACGTGTTCTGGGGGTGTCTATACTTTTGCAGACTTGCTCGGTCATAGAAGGACTCATGGGGGTCCCATCCCGGCATGACTTCCTGTGTTTCCAGCTGGTTTGAGTTCAAATTCTCTAAGCTGTCCATGAGTTTGTGGCAAAGCATTTGGTCTCCACTTTATACACCTGTTTTGTTTTCCAAGGGCAAGGAAAGGTTCATTATATAGTAACACAATAAATAAGCCACTGTTAGCTCAGAGGAAGGGACAGGGAAGTGCCCAATGCAGAGAGATACAGAGGAACCAGGAGAAGCTCGGGGAGAAATATGGGGTGGAAACGATACGTACAACTCCACGAAACGGATTTTCCTGTTTTGTTTTGTTTTTCTTTCACATAATTAACACTAACAAATTCTTCCAGTGTTTATTTTTTCCTTTAAAAAAAAAAGATGTTTTCTTTTTGTGTCTCTCACGAAGTAGGTGAAACGCAAACTGAAGCCTTCCATGGTTTTTTGTTGTTGCTGTAATCTCAGATGCCAGTTTTAACAAACAGAACACAAGCTTGCAAAATGTTTGAACTAGTACCGCTTTTTCTCCAACTTTTATTTTTAAACAGTGATGAATCCAAACTCCCTCATGTCACAGACATCATCATCGTCATTGTGGTTGTCATGTGTCATTGTCACCGTGATTTTCGTGTCGTGGCTTTTCTGAGGATCTTAGCTGCACTTACAAGACTTGACGATCATGTTGGAAAGTTGTTCGATCTTGGGTGAGTTGCCAATATAGTAGAGGATGGTCAGTGGCTCCAGATCTTGGGACACACAGCAAGGGGAAGCAGAAGCTTCAGGATTTATGGTATTGTACAAACTGAGGACCTGAGTGACACGAGACAGGAGGGACACATACAAAAGCAAGTGATGAGTTTCATTTGTTTTTACATTTTGTACTTGTGTGTGTGTGTGTGTGCAGCTGCAAGCAAGGGCCAGGAATTGATGGTGGGTGTCCTCCTCAGTCTCTCTCCACTTCATTATCTATCTATCTATCTATCTATCTATCTATCTATCTATCTATCTTACTTAGTCTGGGTCTCTCATTGAACCTACAGATTGCTGATTTGGCTTGGTTGCAGATTGTAGGTTGGCTTGGTGAGCAAGCTCCAGGCATCCTCCTGTCTCTGTTCCTCTCAGCTCTGAGGTTATGAGTCCATCACCACATCCAGCTTTTATGTGGTCAATGGGGATATGAACTCAGGTCTCCATACTTACAGCATCTTACGCACTGAGTCATCTCCCCAGCTCAGGGCCACTGATTAGGCCATCTTAATTATTGTTTTTCTTACTCGAAATTATGGTCAGATTGGCTTGTGTTCTTAGCAACGATAAATTTAGACTTTTCCCACAAGTTGCCTTGTGTTCTTTTTGCACATATTAAACAAATGATTCCTTAAAAAGCCAGATCACACCAAATTGTTCAGTTAGATTGTCTTTATCTTTCCCCCATAAATTTACTGGCTTTTGCTACACAAAGACCCCAGGCATCCTTCTATTTGGTCTTATTTCTATATAAATTTGTAACCAAGGTTTCATGAATACCCATTTCACATTCCCACACATTTTAAGAGCTCCTTGGCCTTGGGGATTCTGGTCTCTTTGTTTGCCCTGTATTTCTAGGAAGCCTTGTCTGGACAGTGTGTGACTCATGTGCCAGGGGACAGAATGACAATAGAGGAATAAAATATTCCATTGACATTCTTGTAAGAACTGTAATCTACCCTCAGGTATAAAAAGGATGCCTGCCTACAGCAGGATATCTTCCTATTAAATGTTTTCAGGCCGATTAAATGTCACTTTCATTTTTACAAAATCCCTTTACTGACCATGCCTTAGAATTACAGTGATGGGAAGAATGGAGGAAAAGGCAACATGGAAACCTCGTGGACTCTGTGTTTTGTTTCACTAGGATACAAAATCTTCCTTGGTAGCCCACACTATATAACAGACCAGGCTGGCCTTGAACTCACCATAAAGCTGAGGTTGGTCTTAAACTCACAATCCTCCTGCATCACTTGAGTTCTGGAATCACAGGCGTGTACTACCCCACCCACCTAGCTAATCTCTGGTTCCAATCTTTCACTTTATTCTATTTTGCTTAAAGCAACACTACTAACTGACCCCCGTTAACATTTCTCACGTTGGATGGGGACGAGTAAGTTCAAGAACTAAATACAATAGAAGAGAGAGTGCTGCACAGAGTTCTGCAGTTTTATCCCAGCCTCCATCACAGGAGTGTGTGACTCTTACTGATGGGAGCGTGTAGGTCACCCAGTGATGACAGAGACATTTCCAAGGATGCCATTAATGTGTTAGTCAAACAAGTGACCTTTTCCTCGAGATTCCCTGGGATGTTTTCAGCTGAGGACAAGAGACCTGTTGAGCGCAGCAACACTGACTACTTTATTAGGCTACCCCTGGCTTCTTGGGGAACTGTCCAAACCACATATTTGTGACCATGACAGTTAGTCTTCCTTCTCCTTGGAAAACAAGCCTGGCCTCAGCCTTCACACACTCCCTCTGTGTATCAGGGAGGAGAATTACGTTTCGACTTGGCAACCGGGCTCTGCCCGCGTTTCAGCTACTGCTGCTACAGTCCAGATGAAGCAGGCTGGCCAGAGAGCTCAGACAAAGGGACAGGCATGAGCCAGCTTCCCTCACATGGCCAAGCACGTGGTCAGCCCTGAGTGCCAAGCCTACAGGGGCACTGGGAAGATGACTGGAGGAAGGGAAGCCATGTTTGTCCATTTCAGTTCCAGTCCAGGCAGGCATATACCAGCAAATAGATTTCATATTCCACTAATACATAATCTTTCATAAGCAGGAAAGAGCCATTTTTAATAACACAGATTGTCTAAAATAATTGATAACGTCCCAGCTCCCAAATTCAGCCAAATGCGATCTCTCTGGCAGCAGATTCGTTTTCCTACCCTGCAGTGAAGGCGATGTTTCTAATCCTCGTTAATAAGGAGATTTACAGAAGCATAAAGAGCAGAACAAAAACCTCTACTTTCTGCCACATTTGAGGAATTAAGCTCAAAAAGATGGAGCAATGGGGACCAGGTTATAAAACAAACAGGGCTGTAATCCAAGCTCTGGGCTGTCACTGATTTCTCTTTCATCTTGGGCAAGGCACCCACACATTCTAAAACTAACTTCTGTTTTTTAGAAAACTTCTGTTTGAACAAGACCATGTCTGAAGTCCTTCCCATCTCTAAAATCCTACACCATGAGCCACAAAGAGGAAGTCCATGGATGATTCTATCAGAAGGTAGAAGAAGTTTATGCTCATCCGGGCTGGGATGCACGGCATCCACTCTTGGGTCTTCTTGCTGAGTTATCCTGCTGTCCTCATTGAAAAAACTTGATAACATATTTAGCTCTGTGTTCACTTTAGGTTCTAGTCATAGAGATTTAGAGAGACAGATGTGGTAGTGTATAGCTGGAATATCAACACTTGGAAATAGGAGCAGGATTGCCAAAAATTCAAGGCCAGCCTGATCTACATAAGGAGTTTCAGAACAGCTAAGGCTACACAATGAGATCCTGTATGAAAAAAAGCAACCACTAACAAATGGAGTTTTAGAGATAGTCATCTTAAATATATAGGTTATATTTCACAACACTATTGAGGTTGGCATTGTTACTATTATTATTATGACGAACTGAGGCAAGAGTAGAAGAGACAAATGATTCAGATACTTACCTTGGTATGCTGAGTGTCTGAGCTCCATAGATATGGGCATGCCCCAGCACAGAAGTTGGCATTGTACCCTTTGGGCTCATGGATCCATTTCCACCCAAGATCCCGCTTGAAATCAATGTAAAGAGGGCGAAGGCAGCAATTATCCTGCACATTTCTGTTAAAAGAAGAAGCAGTGGGGATTTGGGAGTTGATTTCACATGCATCTCACCCTGTGTCAGGAAAGTGACTCATTCCACTCACGGCAAATACCATGAGACTGGCCTTGTAAGCGCTCTCACCATTTCACACAATGCCAACAGTGAGTCCCTGAACTACTTTCCTGTATGTATTCTATACCCTGGCCTTCTTGTCTGTGACCTGGAAAATCAACATTCATCTTCAGTGAACTAAGAGTAAGCAAGAAGACAGTTGAAAGGAGCCGAGTCCTTCCTGCTGAAGAGCTGCCATCCAGCTTCTGCTGCTGTGGTGTGCACACAATGAATAAAATCTAACAGATATTTTCAGAGAGCCCCTGGAGGCATTCCCCTTCGAGACTGTATCCTATGCTTTGCCACCTGTTGCTAGATCAAGGAATGAATCAGAGTTCAAGAACTATGGAGTCTTGTTGCCATAATCACTGGCTCTGTCAACCAAAATAGCCTCCTCCATCTGTGACCTATGAGGTGGTAAGCACCTCGTAAGGAGGATCCTGCCCTGATCCAACACCAATTGACATGCCAGAATGCATGGGTAAATGGGATAAGAGGGAGGAGTTGGAAGCACAAAGTGATGTATCGTAATTATGTTTTAATAAAAAAATAAAATAAAATAGTTTGAGAAAGCCTTGGGGAGAATGTCATTACGAGATACAAAACCTTTACTGTCTATACCTGTCCTTGAGCAATGACTTCAATCCAGGTCAATATATGGAGGGGAAGCAAAGACAACGCTAGGATTAGCAGATGCAAACATTCGTTTATTTTCATTTCTTTACCTAAAGCAATAGGCGGCATCCAGAGCACGCTTCTTCCGCCGGGTGGACTGTTGTGACTCCAGTCTGTAGGAGGGCAACAACATTAGCAGGAGATGTGGGGTCTTCCCACTGTTTTTTTTCCTAGTGGACTTTATAGTTTTCTGATCACCACTGGTATATGTGGAGGTGCCATCAATACCTTGAAAAAACGCATTTGGGTAATAAACATTTAGCTTTACCTTTATCAAATATAAGCAGCAATATTTATATAATATAGTTCCCCATGCCTACGGTCACGAACGACAGCGACGAACACCGCGGCTGCCTTGCCTGGCTATCATCATTCCCCACAGACACAGACAGGGCACAATGGGCCTCCCACAAGTGACAATGAACACATCTAAATGGGCCTCTTGTCTAAGGCAGTTCTGGGTTGAAGGCAGGGCTGTTACTGGGGAAAGTCACTACAGAAGAAGTCTTTGACCTATGGTCCAAGGGCAATCTAGGCAGTTTATTTTAATCCATCCTCAGTGTGGGCTGTGTTCAAGCCCTCAGCAACAGAACCCACAGCCATAGAGCACGCCTTGTCGCCTGCTGGTTCGCTCTTTCCGTGAGACCATCAACCCAGAAGGCTTTCCTAATGAGCAGAACCCAAGCTGCAGCGAAACGGCCGTGAACTAGGTTCAAGGAAACAGAAGTCACCCTTACCTAATGCTATTTTGGGAAGCTGTACAGAAAGAGCTTTTTCATTCATTTTATGGCATCCTCAACACTTTTCTGATTCCATCTGAGATTTAGAAACCTGAGCTTCCCAAAGCATGCACAAGAGACTGCCAGTTTAAGCATTTAATCTCCACTCAAGAGAATCGTGGCTAGGTTGGAGACCAAAATAAATCTCTACACCTTCAGGGAGTGTTTTTCCATGTCCAAGGGCCACTGAGAATTTCTAAAAGTGGACTGAGGTCCCAGGTGAGGTTAGGAGGGAAGGCTGGCAGATGCCACAACAGCGTGCGGCATGGACTTCCCTTTCACCTCCTCTTCCCAACAGTCCACTGTCTCTTAAGTCAAGTGACTTGAACCCTTGGCATCCTTATTTACTCTGTGTGTTGATGAATTCAGCTCAAAGGTGAGCAGGGGAAAGGAGAGCCTCCTTCTGCATTTGTTAGTGGCTACAGAAATCTGGTAGAGTTGCATATAGGGTGCAGGCTAGAAAAAGGTGGTGTGTCCCAACACCTGGAAGGTGAGTTACAGAAACTGAGACGTGAGATCATTCTTTTCTTTGGTGAAATGTGTTTGTTAATGCTTAAAACTTTGCTTAGTGGGTTAGAAATGGATTTCCTCAGCATCCATGATGTAATTTTTAATTTTTCCGCCTTTTTTCTCTGAATTAGTTTTACTTTGAAGGGGTATAGGAATGGAGGGTAGATACAAAGAGACAGGGAGATGAATGAAAGACACACAGAATAAATAAAAAGAAAGTTAAAAGTGTATTTCCTTGAATCCTTGTCATCTACTTCAGTAATCTCAGCAGATAGGAAGCTGATTTGCTTAGGTGAGGAGTAAAGGAACAATTAACAGAGCTGTTGTTCACAGGGTTACAGAGCCGGCTTCATCACTAGGTGTGAAGCAGGGAAAGTCTGGAGTCTACTCCATTCTTCCAATCCTTTCCATTTAAAAGAAAATACCTTTATTTTATTTTTTAGTAATATTTATTTGTGTGTGCACTTGAGTGCAGGTGCCCTTGGAGGCCAAGAGGGGTCGCCAGGTTCCCCTGAAGCAGAAGTTAGAAGCAATTGCGAGCTCCCTGGTGCAGGTTCTGGGAATTGAACTCAGATCCTTGGCAAGAGCAGGACCTGCTCTTAGTCACTGAGCCCTGTCTCGAGGCGCACTTCCTTCTCCCTCCCACTGAGCAGATCATCGCCCAGATACACGAAAGTGCCCACCCTTCACCAAGCAATGCCATTTTCACATGCAAACTGACTTCCGCCCTCAGAAGAGATTTTCCCAGTAAGGATAAAGCTTCAGTTACCTGCAAATCTCGCTTCGAGCTCTTCACTTTTATTCGGGATAATGTAATTATTAGACGGTACAAAGGTACAGCAGGGGCAGTGTAAACTGATCTTAAATCCCAGGTTCCTGTCTGGAAAACAGCAAGTTAAGGAAGTCATTTGTACGTGCGTCTATGTCTGGAGTCAGCGCACAGGCTGTTGGGGCCACATCTAGGAAGACAAAGGAGGAGCTTTGTAACCTTTATGGTGAAGCCACTCGTGCACGGCATCGGTCACGTCGAAGGAGAGCCACTCGCCTTCTGCTCTCGTTTTTACAACCTTGCTGTCGATGTAGCGCTGGGTTGGAGACGTTAAGTCTTTGGATTTGAGGATCTGGAGAGGGGAAAGAGCAGGAGGAATCGCTCAGCTGAATGCTGGCAGCATGACTAAACCCAAACCAACCACTCTCTTCCAATTCATTATTGACACTAGCTCCAAGTCTGTGTTCGTGCAATGTCATCCCGGCAAACCAACCACGCTCTTCCAAGTCATTATTGACACTAGCTCCAAGTCTGTATTCGTACAATGTCATCCCGGCAAACCAACCACTCTCTTCCAAGTCATTATTGACACTATCTCCAAGTCTGTATTCGTGCAATGTCATCCCGGTAGTGCGGTTCCACGCGTGAGAATACGACACCAGGCCATTTGCTCGGAAAAGTATAGCTAGGAGATCTGCTGTGTGTTCTGATAAAGACAGCCACCATAAAAGTCACTGGCGAAAGAAAAGTGACAGCCATTCTGATTTTACTTTTCTGACAGAAGCTCTGTAAGAATCCACCATAATTTTTTTTTCTTTTTTAATATATGAAGCTTGTGGCTTTGTTGCTCTGTCTCCTTATTTCTTTAATTTGGAGATCTGGAAGATGAGGGCTCAGTTCAGAAAACCCACACCCTCCCTCGCTAGTCCTCAGATTATAAATAGAGGGAGAACGGGCTTGCCCCCGTTTCCTTAATCTGCTGGCGTTAAAATATGGGCCCTGCTTTTAAGGTAAACCTGTGGCTGGGATTTTGACTCTGAGCATGATTTGTGATTTATGATGAAATCCTGCATGCTAACATCAAGGAAGGACTCTGGGCAGGAGCGGTCTAGTGCAGTGTGCCATTGAGAGTCTGGAAATGGATCCGCCCGGGGCACCGAGATGTCAGGAAGATAATGAAGGAGCTGTGACAACAGGCCACTCTGGGGTTTCATCAGGAAGTGCAACTCTGTGGTACAGACTTCTACAAGTCTGTTTCAAAACAATCGAATTTTATGAACCAAACTGTGACCCTAAATTTCCCGGAGCTTTGGTGAATCCTACGTCCAGCTTGTTTCTTGCCTTTCAGCAGTACTGAGGGACTCAAGCCATACTGTTCTATAAAGATCTTCCTGATTCTCAGTCTAATTTTTTTTAACTTTTTTTTTATTGAGAAAAGGAAAAAAAAAAACAAATTTCCTCCTCCTCCCAGCCTCCCATTTCCCTCCCCCTCCTCCCACCCTTCTCCTCCTCCCCCCACTCCTCTCCCCCTCCCTCTCCAGCCCAAAGAGCAGTCAGGGTTCCCTGCCCTGTGGTAAGTCCTAGGTCCTCCCCCCTCCGTCCATTTCTAGGAAGGTGAACATCCAAACTGGCTAGGCTCCCACAAAGCCAGCACTTTACGTAGGTTCAAAACCCGTGCCATTGTCCTTGGCTTCTCATCAGCCCTCATTGTTCGCCATGCTCAGAGAGTCCAGTTTTATCCCATGCTTTTTCAGTCACAGTCCAGCTGGCCTTGGTAAGCTCCCAATAGATCAGCTCCACTGTCTCAGTGGGTGGGTGCTCCCCTCGTGGTCCCGACTTCTTTGCTCATGTTCTCCCTCCTTCTGCTCCTCATTGGGACCTTGGAAGCTCAGTCTTTGAGGGTATTTCTTACATAGGGATTTGGTCCCTCCAGATTATGGAGTCATGCCATCAACTGGACAACATTTCAAAGAGTAACTCTCCACTGGTTCAAGAGCTACTAAGTGACTCTCTAGATATCTAATAGACATATTTGTTCCCTGGTTGCCTGCAAAACCAAAACATGTTACTTTCTAACTAGTTGTTAATGCATCCTCCAACACACACACACACACACACACACACACACACACACACACACGTCTTCACAGTTAGCTTGAGATAATGTGACAACCAGTGCTTCCTGGGATAGTTGGGGTTAGAGCAGATTCACCCCTGGATTGACAAAGTACTATGGAGAAGGAAGAAGCAAGAGTTGGGTTTGTAGCTCAGGTACATTCATTTACATACTTAGATGTCCTCATGAACTTTATGCAAATGTTGTCCACAGGCCTGCCCCCATGGACAAAACCCACTAAATGGAAGAATATAGGGGTGACCATGATCCTGTAACAGGCAAGAAGTGCTTTTTACTCGTCAAAGAAAACAAATGAATATGACTTGAGGGCTGGGTACAATGGACTCTAGGCTTAACGCACACTTTTTGGTTTAACTTAGTCCTCCAAAGATCCCTGTAAAGTAGATGAAGCAAACGGAAAATGAGGGAGGAGTCAAAGGCCGCCCCACCCCAAGCCATTTTACTACTTTGCTATGACAATCCGAGCGGGACCATGAGGTCACGACCTTTTCCATAGGGTAGAAAGAATTCAATAATCAAAGCAAAAGTCTTTGAAGAAGATTGTACTAAACCTTGATGCAGGTGGAATGCACACCTAGCCGAGGCTGACATGAAACATTAAAGGCTGTGAGTCCTCTAGGGGTAAGAACCTGTCTTGGGCGACTAAGACACAGCTTGGCCAACTGAGGAGAAGTGGTGCAATGTGCCCGAGATGGGGTAAGATGATAGAAACAATAGTGGAAGTGTGATTCCATCCACTTCCCTTCCAGTCCAGTGGTTCAGAGCACACCCGGATTCGTCTGCTGGCTGTGGATTTTTCTCCTAATAGGGTCTTCTGTGAGGGGAGACATTGTGATGTGGTCTTTGTGCACAATTTTCTGTGCTCTTAGTAGCGTATTTATCTTCATACAATTAGTACTTAGGGATACTACACAGAACAAAACTCATTTTTATACCTTAAGTAATTATATGTAAATTAATATAATATAATCATTTGATACTATATAGAACAATTTATATGATTATAAATTTTGCATGTAAAATTAAATGAATATCCAAATGTCTATGATATACATGATACATGTATATGACCCTATCTACACACATATACACGCATATATCTAATATCCAATCTCACTAAAGACAAGACTATCATGACCACATTAATCAAATGGATGAAAAATATGTATGGGCAAACTGATAGAAAAATTTTTATTCTTATTACATTTCTATACATGTGTGAGCATGTACAGAGGCATGTGGTGTGCTGTGGTAGGTATGGTAGTCAGGGCACAGCTTACAGAAGTTAGTTCTCACTACCACGGTGTGGGTCTTAGGGATTGAACTCAGGTCAGCAGGCCTGGGGGCAGACATCTTTACTGAGCCACCTAACCAGCCCGCTGATGATATTCTTTTCCTTACGTAGGTGTAAATCTATATTATTCTGATTTCCAAAGGGGGGATACAGGCTAGCAAAGGACCCTGGCTTTTTCTGTTGTGAAGCCACTGAAGAGTTAGGGGTTGGGGCTTCCTCAGCCACAGAGCACTGGGGGGCTCAGTCAATGGAGAACTCACCTCTTTTGAAATCAGGAAAGGGCCTACTGGATTGTTTCTTGTATAGATTTAAGAGTCATGAAAAGGCTACGTGTCAACAACACCATGAAAGACAGGAGGCCACGTCATTCTGAGACAGAGAAATGACCACTCTCTTTCTGCCTCTGTGTCTGGAACTCTCCGGACTGCGACTTCTTAAACTCACTTGCAGTCCCCACTCCACTCTTCTCCGCCCTCAGCAGAGGCAGGGAACAGCTGTTTCCCATCACTCAGTGGACAGCCCTCCTGCTCCTGAAGACTGGAACTAAGTCCCCTCACCATGCATGTTTTCCCTCTCGCTAAGCTAAATAAACGGAGTTCCTTTAGACCGTGTTTAGAGGGGCAGACTCCCAAACCTTTAATCATTTGAGTGGCTAACAAGGACGAATGATGCTTTTTAAAAGGATTCCTCCACAGGATTCAGGGTTCCTTCTCAGAACTGTCTACATAAGTGTCTAGCCACACCTCGCCATGGAATCTTCACTTCAAAGCTGTAGGTGCTGCTCCTCCATTCCTGCTTGTTCCCATTCATCAGCAAGCTAAGTCAAGTCCAAGGGCAGATGTACGGGGCCGTCAGCCTGCTGCCTCTGCTCATGGTCCCTTTGAGCCGTCGCAAAGTGCTGGGGAGGGAGTTCCAGCAGTAAAGAGCCTGTCCTGCAAACATGGGGATCTGAGTTGAGAACCCCAGTGCTCACGTGAAAAGTCGGGCATGGTGGCGTGCATCTGTAACTACAGTTCCAGAGTAGACACAGGAGGGTTTCAGAAGTCCACCAGTCGGTCAGCCTAGCTGAATGGATAAGCTTCAGGGTCACTGAGAGATCGAGTAAAAGGCAGAAAGCAATAAAAGAGCACATCCAATATTGAACTCTGGCCTCCACATTTATGTACACACATGCGCGTGCGTGCGTGTACACACACACACACACACACACACACAGACGTCATACAAAAAGGACTAGACCAGTCAACTTCCCATTATATTTTAGCCTTTGCTATCCTAGTCCGTCCATAGTTGTCTATGAACCAGGGCATCGAATGGGATCAGCTGCTACTCCCTTCTGGATCCAAAGCCATTTGTTGCTGTGTTTCTTTCTACAACGTATGACGGCAGAGGTAATTTGGTGGATGTCACAGTTAACCAAGGCTGCCCATTCAGTTCAGAGTCTATCTCAGCTGGCTCGAATCTGCAACATGCTGGCTCTTCTAGGACATTGCTTCCTAACCACTTCTGGCCTTGCCTGTTGAACTGCACGCTTAGCAAATGCCCATTGTGCATGCTTCCCAGCTGGCTGATGACACCCAGACTTGGTATAGCAATTATGCAAGTTAATTAAATGGCTAGAAGCTGATGATGTACAAGACCAAAAGAAAAGGGAACTAGTACATCCATGAAAAATCAAAGCTTTCCAGAGGGTCTTCAGAATGATGACTTGCTGTAAGGAAAACGTGTGTTTTTGAAAACAGTAGGGCAGTTCCTAAAAAAGAGTAAAGAGATCCAGAAAACCCACTTCCACCTGTGGCCCAAAAGAATTGAGAGCACAGATGCAAACAGATAATGTAGAGACCAAGTGTCTTCGTTACTCTTCAAGTTAAGATAATTTAAAGTTTCTCTCATTTTTATAATCCTGTGCATGTGTATGTTT